AAAATATGTTTCTACAGGGCAGCCAACACAGAAACTAGTTCTCAGCTACAGACACTGTAATTTCAGGCCAGTTAAAAATTGAATATACATGAATGTTTTAGTCACCTAAAAGGAAAAAAATGTGAGCCACCTGGTGTGTAGCAGTGTATTTGAAAAATCTGTATATCACTGAACAAAATACTACTGGAACAAACAGTCTGGGAAAGTCTTTTAAAAGGGGTGTGCTGTTTTTCTAGATGCAAGGGAATAAAATTATAAAGTGTGTTGAAAGCAAACAGCTACTGGACACTTCAAATCATGCTGTGGCATTGTTGGCCAAGCATTAAGAGTTGCAATGGTGAAATCAAAAATTTAACAGAAAGATCAGACTTCCAACCATAATATTCCAAGATGTGTTATGCCTTATAGTCATATTTTTATGTTGAACAATCTTTCTCTAATTCTGCAACATGTTTGAGGATTTCTGCTAATCTGTTTAATAGTTCTGATATACATAACACATTATACACATAAAGTGAAGTCAAAGACAAGTGATATGGGCACACACATAACCCCTTCTTATCTCCTTCACATGCTGGGTCTATCTGATTCACAGGGATATGGCTCAGTATGTTAAGAAACTATGATTATAAGACAGAATCAGAACTGTGGAGTGTGTGTAGATGTCTGAACATGCCCTGTAAGATTGCAAAGAAGTTTATTGTGGTAATTATTTGACAACTTACTCAACTAAAAATAGAGATTTACAGTATAATTAATTTCAGTACATATCAGCATTGCTCTATAACTTCAGCAGGTTTTGTCCAGCTTTCATTCATTGTGAATCCATTTTTATATCCATAACATTGCTATCCGTGACAGCATAATTCTTTCTAGCCAAACAAAAACTGAGGAACCACATTTACTTTGCACCCAACAGCTGTTCTTAGAGGCTGCGTTCCCAGTCACAATAGTAAGAAGCAGAAACAGCTGCAAACTTGGGAGTGCGGGGCAGGGGGAGCAGGAGAAAAGTAAAACTTGTGGAGTGCTTGTCATACAGCCTGGAGAGGAAGTAGAACCATTTTTCTTTTCTTTCTCATGTATGGCAGCTGTTTCAGTAAAAATTATTAGCAGTCTGTTTTGAAACAGAAACTCAACAATATTTCATAAACTCTGAAGTCAAGGCTATTGAGGGACCAACACAAAGCTTAACACTTCTGGTAAAGCCAAAACAATGATCTGTGTGACTGACTAGACTGCTAGAGCTCTAACAGGGCAAGTATATTCCTCCTTTACTCCTTTTTTTAAAAAAAGGATAAGATTACTATCTGCACTGGAAAGACTAACTCTGTTTTGAAGTCAAATACTTAATTGCCTGCAGCAGTTGGTGTAGAGCTTATCATCCTCTCTTCCCAAGCTGAAAAAGCGGTTTGATTTTCAAAATCCAATAGAAAATTCCAGGGCAAAAGGATACCCTTTCAGTAGTTCTCTGTGTTACATCACCATATACAAGGCTTTGAGGCCAAGAGAGCTTTCCAGATATTTTTCTCTTAAAAGCAAAAAGAGACAAAATCCAATGTACCTTCTCTTGTTGCCACTAGATATGCTCATCTCTACTAGATACTCATGGCACATGCACTGGATATGTCATAATCATTGGAAATGTGGCCAAAGCCATTTACTCTGATATGGTCTAACTAATTTCCCATAACTGCATCCTATTAAAAAAAAAACAACAACAACCACAACAAAACCTTGGGGAACAGCTATTTTCTTAAAAAAAGTTAAAACCAACAATCTAGACATTCTGATAAAACTAATTAAGATGTGGATTACAGTCTAAATATTTTTTCCCAATGGACCAGCACAGATTTGATTAACCATATGCTATCTAGATGGCCCATTTTAACTAACAGCTAATATCAAAGTGGCCCACAGCCACTATTCCCTGCTCTCTTCTGCTGATACATAACTCTGGCTGAGCAATACAAATGTCAGTCTCCTTCCTTGGGCTTCAGCATGACAATGTAAATAGATCAGTGACTTTTTTGTGCTTTATGGATGCTAACAGGCAATATGCCTCATGTTCCAACTGAGAACACATGAATGCAAAATGTATCTCCCTCTAACTGTTGTCAAACTACAAATTATCCCTCACTATTGACCATGTTGGCTAGAGTAGACACAGACTTCAGCAACATCTGTAAGGCCACACACTGTATAATGGATACATTTTCACTGGCCAAATGTCTTTGGGTCATAAAAAAACATTAAAAGGCTCAGGAAAACATCCCCTCCCCAAATGTCAGTCAGAAAAAAAAATATACAGATATAATGTATATGAAGGACATATTGGCAGTCACCCTATCAAATTTCAATTTCAACATGTCCTTGAATCACCTGTGATAGTTATTTACACAGTGAAGAATGGTCCGAGAGGGCAACCTGAGGTTGTCTTTGCAAGCCCAGTCCATAAAATATTCATGCTAAAGACCATCAGATCTGAATGGGCTGCAAACCTACGCTTATATAATGATAATCTGACTGCATACAGAGGGACTTATTTCTGAGGAAGTATGTATAAAATTGCATTAGTGGGCTAGTCTGCATATAGTCAGGGACATCTAATAAAGTTTAGCACTGAAGTTTATATATATGAGATGGGCTTTGTCAGCTATTAGCCAGCTATTGTTTGCAACAACCATTTCAACTCTGTATACCTCCTGCTCTACAGAAGAGCATCCCCCTCTGTTCCTGCAATCCACATAATATGACATTTCAGAACAATTAGCTTTGAATTAATTGTGCTAATAGACCCTAACTTGTGTGTTGAAATGCTTAATCTGCCCAGTTGTTCAGTTCCATTATCCTGAAGACTGGAAGCTCCTCATTTGAGGAAATTTGAATTAAAGACACTGTGCTATTTGTAGAGAAATATTCCTATACAAAATCCTGTCCCATCTGCTGCAACTTAGGAAATGTGATAAGAAATAGCTTTATAAATTATTTCCTATGCAACTGCTTGCATAATAAAAAGAAAAGTTTAAGTTAAGTTGACATTTGATTCTCAAAGTGCTGTAATACCAGTATCATAAACTCGCATTTCCTCCATTCTCTGATCCCTCAAAAATTTGTCTTAAGGCAAGATACATTAAAGATGGTTTTAGAGATATATGTTACTAAGCCCTAAAGGCAAGCACATGAGATCTGTAGTATTGAAAGTGTCAGCCCTAAGGCCTGCTCTGATTAAAAAAAGAGAGGGAGGGTGGAAAAACTTTCTGGTTTATTACAATACGGATCTTGAAAATAACTTTAGTCTGTAACTCAATCCAGTCCAATTCAGTGATGTGAATATTTCAGCTAATGGCACTCTGTGTTTCAGACAATAGCATTCCTTTTGATCCCTTGGCTTCCCTTACAAAAGGAAATGTGCTACGGAAGGATTGTGTTAATGAATGAATGAATAATAACAGCAGTATAAAGTGCAATATCTAGCTACTTGCACTTCCATAGAAGATATAAAAACCCTTTATGTTAAGATCAGAAAATTTGCAGGAGACCAAAGCAAACTGCAAAAGAGAAAAATCTTGTTATTACTAACATTTTACCTACAGCTAACCATTTGTACTTATTCCACCTGAAGATTATTCAGAGATTCTTCAAACCAAGCTGTCTTGCCACTGACCCAGATGTTTTCATGAAAAGAAGCAAGATGTTAAATCCAATTCTATGGCTGCCATTACAGAATGCTTTCGGAGACAAAGACACACGTTAAGCAAGAACTGAGATTTAAATCGTATGTTTCTCAGGAGTTACCAAATGTGGAATGTTCAGACATTACCTTCCACATCTATGAAACAAACCACATCAGAGATAATTTTTCTTTTACTGTCTTATAGAAGAACTACTGTATGTCACACAGTGTAATCTAACATGCCAACTTCCCATTCTATGTTCCTCCCACTGCTTGAACCTATGAAACATAACTTCCTGGCCCAGTCAGACCAAGTGAATAGCAAAGTTACAGGAGCTTCATGGCACATCTGAATCACTTGTCATAAAACAGTCTCACTTGAGACTGTTTTATGACCCAGCAGTAAAGGCAGAAGCACTGTCTATTGAGTGAAACAGATGGTAATATGGGCGATAACAGTACAGGCAGAATAATGTCATCACTCTGCATCAAGTGAATTACTAGCTATAAAATGAGGAAGATGGACCAACTACAGAAGAGAAAAAAGAGATGCATAACTGCAGTAATGGAAATGGGCAAACTGTGGTCCACAGCCGATATTGGGATTCTGGATAACAGCTGTGAAAGCAGGACTAAATGAAAAAAAACTATATATCTTGATAAACAATCTATTGTAAAGGGACTAGGAAAAACAGCTAGGAGCTAAAGGGTGATAACTAGTGAAAATAAGCAATACAGTAGTGGACTAGGTGGACCTATGGCCTTTTTTGGTTAAATATTCTAGGAAAACCATTTTCAACCTTTCTTTGGCCACAACCCTTTTAGGAGCTCTTCTCAGGTTCCAAGGGTCCTGTCAAATAAGGAAACAACACAAACAGGTATCTCTCAGGAGCTTTTCACATTTTTCAGTCTATGGACTCCAAGGGGCCATACAGCTCCCATTGAGAATGGCAGCTTCAGGATACTGATGGCAAAGCTAAATTTGGAATATAATACCATCAAATCAAGTAACTAAGAAAACATTACATAGGAGGGGGGCAGAGCTTCTAGACAAAGGTTGCCAGTAGTTTTGACAATACTTGGTGAGATGGACCAAGGGTTGGAAATAGTATAAAGCAGCTTTGCTGAGTTCCCATTGCTAAGATTTTGGTGCTCTTCTTTTTCCTGCTCCTTTAATTCTCTCTACATCCTCTTTTGGCATTATTTCAGGCAAATGTTAAAAGCATCTTTCACACTAAAATGAATCTTCCCTTTCTTCCCCTTTCTTTCTTACCTTCTCCACAGCTGAAAAGCTTGTGCAACAAAACAAAATTACAGTATTACCTACCTGCATGAAGCGGCCTTCTGATGTCCCTAGATTTGCAATCGTAAGATCCCCTTTGGTAAAGACAGAGATAGACGTTAACAAGACTGTGCTGAACTGCTTTGAGAACAAGTCAATCCTCTGCAAAGGTGTTGTGACCTCCACACGATATTCATCATCTTGTGCCCCACAGTAAGTGGTGTTTCTTGAAAAAGTCTGTAAGAAAACAAGACATGTTTCAGCAAACCCCATGGAAGAGACCAAAATGTTAAGAGAAGATCAGGAAGAAACCTCTAGAAGAGAAGTCACTTTGAAGGTAGATGGGGGATGCATTTTGTGGAATGTAACTTTGAAATGGCTTCATTGACACAAACACACACACAGAAATACTAAGAAAATTATTATTTCAACCTTTTGGCTTGAGTGTGATTTTAGATATTACTTCCCTATTAAACTCATGTAAAACAGGATGTTTTACCACGGCCAGAATGCTATCGCTTACATATACTGACTTATGTTAAATGCAGCGGTCTAAATCAGTTTTTCCCAACCTTGGGTTCCCAGATGTTATTGGACAAAAGCTCCCCAAAGCCTTCTTAAACAAGCTGTGCTGGCCAGAATTTCTGGGAGTTGTAGTCCAAGAAAATCTGGGGAACCAAGGTTGGGAACCACTGGTCTAAAACATACAAGCAAATTCCTGCCAGTTAAGGGGTCAAAATTGTCCTCTTCATTCTGTGCCAGCCACATTACTTCATGTGCAATGAAGAATGCAATGGATCACTCTTTAACTAGCAGCAATTTTCCACTGCAGTTTCCACCACTCCACTTACACCAACACACATAAACAATAAGATGCCAGTGACTGAATTAATGTTTTGATACATACAACAAACTGTGCAACCTTAATCAAAATGATTTGAAAACATATCTTCAGGCTATTCAGCAGAAAAATCATTAAGGGCGAATAAAGTCATAGAATTAACACTTGTTTTTAAAAATGAAAATGTGTTGCTTTTGTTCCTAGATTCTTTCGGGAGAAATAAAAACGCCTGACGAATCATATATTTATTTGATTTCAAATTGTGATTGCATACTAAAATATGTGGATTATTCTGCTGCAACCAGAGAAGTGCAATATCTTTATATGGCAATGACAGCATTTTAATGTCTCATTAGTGCTTATCCATTTTGTTTTAATTACATGAGGCTCAGAAGGTCTTGGTATCTCCATGAAGAAAAGGAAATAGTGAGATTGTGTAATGTAATTATTCTAACAGTATTTTCATCTCTCTTTGCTCAAATTTTGCAGTTAGTAATGCTAGACATGATAACGGACAAAAATGGGAGGGACCTCACAGAAGCAGACAACATCAAGAAGAGGTGGCAAGAATACACAGAGGAATTATACCAGAAAGATTTGGATGTCCCGGACAACCCAGTGAGTGTGGTTGCTGACCTAGAGCCAGACATCCTGGAGAGTAAAGTCAAGTGGGCCTTAGAAAGCATGGCTAACAGCAAGCCCAGTGGAGGTGATGGCATTCCTGCTGAACTATTTAAAATCGTGAAAGATGATGCTGTTAAGGTGCTATACTCAATAAGCCAGCAAGTTTAGAAAACTCAGCAGTAGCCAGAGGATTGGAAAAGGTCAGTCTACATTCCAATCCCAAAGAAGGGCAGTGCCAAAGAATGCTCCAACTACCGTACAATTGCACTCATTTCACACACTAGCAAGGTTATGCTCAAAATCCTACAAGGTAGGCTTCAGCAGTATGTGGACCGAGAACTCCCAGAAGTACAAGCTGGATTCCTAAGAGGCAGAGGAACTAGAGACCAAATTGCTAACATGCGCTGGATTATAGAGAAAGCCAGAGAGTTCCAGAAAAATATCTACTTCTGCTTCATTGACTATGCAAAAGCCTTTGACTGTGTGGACCACAGCAAACTATGGTAAGTCCTTAAAGAAATGGGAGTGCCTGATCACCTTACCTATGTCCTGAGAAACCTATATGTGGGCTTATTTAACTTATATGCAAAATACATCATGCGAAAGGCCGGACTGGAGGAATCTGAAGCCGGAATTAAGATTGCCGGAAGAAATATCAACAACCTCAGATATGCAAATGATACCACTCTGATGGCAGAAAGTGAGGAGGAATTAAAGAACCTCTTAATGAGGGTGAAAGAGGAGAGCGCCAAAAATGGTCTGAAGCTTAACATAAAAAAAAACTAAGATCATGGCCCATCACCTCCTGGCATATAGAAGGGGAAGATATGGATACAGTGACAGATTTTATCTTCTTGGGTTCCATGATCACTGCATATGGTGACAGCTTCTTGGGAGGAAAGCGATGACAAACATTGACAGCATCTTAAAAAGCAGAGACATCACCTTGCCGACAAAGGTACACATAGTCAACGCTATGGTTTTTCCATTAGTGATGTTTGGAAGTGAGAGCTGGACCATAAAGAAGGCTGACCGCCGAAAAATTGATGCTTTTGAATTGTGGTCTGGAGGAGACTCTTGATAGTCCCCTGGACTACAAGGAGAACAAACGTAACCATTCTGATGGAAATCAACCCCGAGTGCTCACTGGAAGGATAGATCCTGAAGCTCAGGCTCCAATACTTTGGCCATCTCATGAGTAGAGAAGACTCCCTGGAAAAGACCCTGATGTTGGGAAAGTGTGAAGGAAAGAGAAGGGGACGACAGAGGACGAGATGGTTGGACAGTGTCATCGAAACTCCCAACATGAATTTCACCAAACTCCGGGAGGCAGTGGAAGACAGGAGGGCCTGGCGTGCTCTGGTCCATGGGGTCATGAAGAGTCGGGCATGACTGAACGACTAAACAACAACAAAATGCTGTCTTATATTGTGATTGATATTACTATAAAATGTTATTTGTTCATTTTTAATCCTCTTCATTGACAACCAATATGTGTGTGACCCCCCCCCCAAAAGTTATTCCGAGAATAATATATTGTAGGCTTGTTCTTAGGGAAAGATGAATGTTGCATTTATGATTCAATGCTAATTTATTAATTGAGAAGACAGTTTCAATTGATGCTTTTCTGTTTTTGGATAATAAACAGGTAAGTTAAGCATCATACTGTACTAGTGGACAATATACATTACATGTTTGTTTCTAGAATATGAAGCAGGCCACTACAGAATACGAAGAAAACATACACATTCTAAAATCAATTATGCATTCAATTTTCTTCATGGTTATTTATTTTAAGGAGATTATAATATGATTTACTGCAATTGAAGAAAAGATGTGAAAATATTTCTTTTCATTTCCCAGGCTTTCCCCTCTATCCTACAACAAAGATGTAAAATAATTAAGTTTAATCATCAGCTTACTTATTAGATTTATATTCTGCCTGTCCTCGCACGAGCCCAAAGTGGCATACATGGCTCTGCTCCTCTCCACTGCATTCTCATAACTAAGGGGAAGATTTTGATGACATTCCACACTTTCTCTGCAACCTATTCTTCAATCCAGAAGCAAATATAAACATGTTTATGAGTAATCTGACTTTTCTCACCAAATTACTAATAAACATGTTCAAAACCACTTATAAGGTCAAACACAGGATGCAGAAAAAATATGACATGTCATAAATTCTCTCCCTACTCGTAACAATCTGGTGAGGGAGATCAAGTGAAGAGAAAGAGCAACTGGTCCAAGGCCACTGAGTTTCATGCCTTCAGTGGAGGCTTTCTCTTGGATTTCCAAAGTCCTGGTCCACTGCCCTGAGCATGATATCTTCACTTCTTTAAGCAACTGACTTATGTGTGGCCTTTTCCCACACACGTTGTTAGTGTGTGTGAAAAGTCTGTAAGAGGAGCTGCTTATGGTTAAAACACATCAATATTAATGCAGCAAAAGACATCACTTGGTATTATTGTATTTTCTTCATTCCTGAATCAACTTTTGAAGCTATTGTGTTTTTTGACACCTAAAACTCCCTATTGCCATCCTTTTGTTAGCGGTATATTTGTATATATTATAAACAACAAGAAAAGTCATAGTTAGTTTAGAAAATATGACCACCTCTAAGGTTTCAGGGCAATGGAAACTGTGCCCCATCCCCAAATTATTAGCTACAGCTTCCATCGACCCTTCTCACTATATATGCTGGCTTGGGTGCATGGGAACTGTAGTCTAAGGACATCTTGAGGACCACATGTTCCCCAAGCAAATTAAACATATTAATCTACGTATGCAAGATAGCATTATGGAACTTGCCAAGAAAAATAACTATATAGTTTAGTATAGTTTAACTCTTTCACCATTTTTCGCCTCCCCTTCTGACTTCATAGACTCCCCAAACCAGATGGTGCTGAACATCAACTCCCATCATCCTCATCACTGGCTACTTTACCCGAGGCTGATGAGTTGCTGTCTGAAAATGTCAGAAAAGACATCTCTTCTTCATTTCTGACCTAAATTATTTGCTTGGCTGACAATATGGAAAATATCATTATCTCTGGATTATATGTTCATAAATCAGATGCCAGCATCCAGTGACAAATCTCACAAATATGGTAGTTCAGCAAAGGCCCTCCTGATATGTGGCTTGGCATTATTTCCTCCTTCCGTGTACATGAGTGAAAGTACAAAGTCTATTTGTGACTCATTCAGAAGAAAAAATGTTCATCCAATGTAGGTCTAAATTGGAATGTGATGAGATACAGGCAATTATTTAATCCGTGTCCAAACTGGACTTGAAGAGAAATTGTATCTTGCTTGCTCAAACAAAAATCTGTGTCTAGCTGGAATTTACTCTGTGTCTAATTTTCATGATAAAGGTCTTCACATTTTTGTTTTTCTTTTTAACCTCAACCACTTTGGAAATATTTACAGTTCTTTTATAAATAACATTCTGAGCTAGGTAAATGCCTTCTCTTCTTCTAAAGAGTTAAAAGTACTAGTTTATTTTTAGATTCTTGTGCAGTAACATGGAAAAATTAGTCATTAAGTATTAAGAAACTGACATTCCACCTGTCTACAAAGGTACACATGGTAACTTAAAAAAATCATCAAGATGTAACATCAGATAAAATTATAGCCCAATAGGAAATAAGCAAGCATATATTTTGGCTCAAATAGTCTGGTGGGTTTGTAGAAAAATGAGGATTTGGACCTCATATTACCACATCTAAGACTAAACCAGAATGGACGTGACGGCACAGAATTATTATCATTT